GATTCTCGGGGATCAGCTGTGCCATCGAGGCCTTTGAGAGCATGCTTATCTGCTGGGCCATTTCTCTGGCTGCCATTCTTTTCTTCCGTTATTGTCATTTAGAGAGGTCGGTGGGTGGGCGGATACATGTACAGACAGACATAAGAACTTCAAATTATTTTTGTAAAGGAAAAAAGCATCCATTAAGATTTTGTCTTCTTTAAAAAAATATTTTCCCCAAGATGAACTAACTGCCTTTGCCTTCAGTGAGCCAACTTAAAAGGAGAATTCTTTAGATGAAAATTGATGGGAAGTGACATGATCTGAGGCAAGTTTCAGCACTGGGGCAATTTTTGAAAATTGCATTTTAAGGAACAGCTGAGTTGCCCTTGCTCCATGCATATAAATGGAAGTGTTTCCATGGAGCCAGTTCGAGTACCCCCAGTAATTGCAAAGAAAGAATTACATCTCATTCAGCCCGCTGCCTAATTGAACCTTAAATTTAAAAAATTAAGTCAAATGCTTAGGTAAAACTCACTGTAGATTTTTATTTTTTTCATTTTTTCCCCAAAAATGGGTAATATTCCCATTTCGCTAAGTGACTTATGCTCTACTGTGTGAAGCTTACACAGCAGAAGAAGCCGCAGAGACGGTTTTCATGTGGGTATCTGAAAGGCTCCATTCCAACCCGGCTCCCAGAAGAATCTAAAAGAGTCTCACCTCAGCATTTCTGATATCTACTCAAAAACTTCAAAACTCTGAGTCAGCCTTGGAATTGACCTCACTGAAGTGGGAGGGTTCCTTCATTAGGAGAGTAACTGACCGACGTGGCTTAGATAGCTGTGAGTCTGTTCACTAAGGGGACAAAGATGGAACACCTGCCCTTCATGGCCCAGCTCCCAAATCTGGTTGAAGAACCAAACATTTCAACATGGGCCAACAAGATAAACAGAACAACTATCTCTGTTAGTTTTGCTGCCAACTTGACACACTTGGGAGGAGATAAACCTCAACTGAAGAGTTGTCTCTATCCTATTGGCCTGTGGGTATGTCCAGGGGGCAGTCTCTGATTGCTGGTTGATGTAGTCTCCACTATGGGCAGTATCATCCCTAGGCAGGTGGGTCTGAGTTGTCTCACAAAGTTAGCTCAGAGTGAGCCTGCAAGCCAGCCAGTGAGAATGTTCCTCTACGGTCTCTGGTACAGCTCCCGCCTCCAGACTCCTGCTGTGGCTCTCCTTGATGGTGGACTGTAACCAGCAAGCGGGATAAACCCTGTCTGCCTTCCAGTTGCTTATGGTCATGGTGTTTATCACAGCAACAGAAGGCCAACGAGGGCACAAAGGGAGCATAAATGCTGAGTCTGGAAGCCATCCAAAGAAACACACGGTCTTTGGAATCACACTCCTCTGTCAACCCCATGCCCTCCGGTCCCTGTCACATTCCCTGGAAACAAGATGAGACATGGTGCTTTGAAGTTCTCAAGGGTGCATGTCTTGCTAGTATTAATTACAGAAAGAAGTCTTTAACTCAGTACAAATTCCTGGGGTTGTCTGGTCAACTTAAAAAAACTATCTAATTAGCATACAAAGTACTGGGCTTCTTGGTGGCATTTTTCAAACAAATTTGGTTTTTAGTGATTTCTCCCCACCCTTCCTCATCTCCCTGCCCCCTTGTATCCTTCTATCCCCAGTGACTCCATTCCTTTCCTGTTCTTCCCCAACCCCTTCTTCAATACCTCTTTATCCTCTCTTGTGTCTCCCCTTTTGAGTTTCATAGCCGATATATACACACTCACACCCTCATACATATAAACATATAGTATTTATGTTTGTATGTATATATGTGTACATGTAAACAAAAGCTAGGATCTGTATATATACATGAGAGAATGTATATGACTCAGAATGCCTTTCTGAGTCTAAGGTACATGACTTAACAGTCAACTTCCCAGGTTCACTTGTTTTCTTGAATACTTTAGGATTTCCTTTTTTCTTGAAGGCCGAATAAAACCCAGTCATGTATACGCCACACTTTCCCGTGTCCATCATCTGCTGATGGGCATCTGTGCTGCCTCCACTTACTTGCTGTTGCCAGGAGAGCAGCAGCAAACATGGAGGTTCAGGTCTCTACCATAGGATGCAGGGTCCTTGAGGTGATGCCCAGGAGTGGTATGGCTTGGTCAGAGGATAGTGCTAGTTTTAACTTGTCAAGTCCCTCCATGCTGGTTTCCACAATGGCTTCATTAGTCTGTACTCCCACTAACAGCAAGAACGAGTTCCTCTTCCCCTACATCCTCACCAGTGTTTGCTGTCTGTCTCCTGACCAATCACCACTCTAACTGGGGGAGATGGAATCTCCAAATAGTTTTAATTTGTATTGCCCTGAGGGCTAGTGATGTTGAACCCTTCTAAAATACTCATTAGCCATTTGTGTTTCTTCTTTTGAGATCTGTCTGTTTATTTTAATGGTCCATTTATTAACTGGCAGGATTTTTTGGTGTTTGAGTTTTGTAGTTCTTTATATATCCTATATTCTAACCTTTCTGAAGTATAGCTAGCAAAAGCTTTCCCCCATTCTGTAGTCTGTCTGCTTGCTCTAATGATGTTTTTTTCCTTTGCTCTAACGATGTTTTTTCCTGTGCAGAAACTCTTTTTCTTAGGCTGGTTGTCCTCCTTTAATCAATCAGTGAAGTGATGGGGGCGGGAGTCACATTAACAAGACAACCTAAGCCAAGAAGTCAGGTCAAGAAATAATGGGCACACCTTCCCGTTTTTGAGAGGGCTCTGAATTTCTTTGTTTTCTGTCCTTTGTCTTTTCTCATGGGTCAGAGCAACTGGGTCTAAATTAATACTAATGATTTTATTAATGTTTTAAAAGCATACCTTGAAAGTCAGTGACTAAAACCATCTGGCTTGCAGAATTTCTTTTGTAACTTGTCCATGGTTTTCTCCTTGCTAACATTTCTTTAAAAGGTGGGATTTTGCAGTAAGTGAGGCTTGGATGAGCAAGAGTAAGAAGAAATAGCTTATGAAGACTTCAGAGGGTATGTGTGTGTGCATGTGTACCCTCACAAGTGTTGGAGAAGGCAACAGAGAGGAAGAAGAGTTAGTGTGTATTCAGAGAAGCAGAATTGCTGTCCATGTAGATTCTTAATCTAGACACTGGTACTGGGACTCCAGATGATGTACCGGAGGGACTCTCCTTAGAGGTCCAATGTGCCCGACAGGGGCAGCTGATATCGAAACTGGATTCATCTGTATGACTTTCTGGGTTTACCAGACATGGAGTCACTAGGAATACCATCTATATGCCTTCTAAATGGCCTCCCAGGCTCTGGGGGTGGAGCTGGCTCAGTCAATAAAGTTCTTACTTTGTAAGTTTGAAGATCTGGGTTTGATCCCTAGGACTCATGGTAAAGTTGTAGGTATGAGGGCATGTGCTTGTAATTGCAACTCTGGGGAGGTGGAGACAGGAATATCCCTAGGGCTTGTTAGTCAGCCAATCTAGACAAATTGGTGATCTCTGGGTCAAGGAAAGGCCTATCTCTAAGGAGGTAGACAGCCTTCCCGAGGTTGTCTTTGACCTCCAGACATGCACCCTCATCCACACGAACATAGACAGACACACAGAGAGAACGTAGCACTCGGTAGAATATCAGAGCAACTCCATCCTTGAGCTGGGGCCAGTCTGATTCTTCACGGGCAATTTGGCCTCTTTGAACAGCCATGGTTTCATAGGTGTCTTCCAGGGCTCACTCAGTCAGTCAGCGACGGTGGTGTGAAGGCGGAGTGAGAACTTTAAGACAGCTGTGTCATGTATACAATAGAAAGTCTTAGTTTTCAAAACCCGAGATGGAAAAATTACAGAGTGAAGCTAGCAGGGGGTCATGTTCATAAATGCTCTAGTTCTTCAACCTGAAAGATCTCAGCCCTTACATTTGACTTTCCAGACTCTCAACAGGCTGACTTAGAATATCAACAGATCCAGTAGGCGTTCATTAAGAATCTCCTGCAGTTCCTGGAGGAGTTATTAGTGGAGACCTAGACACGTTTTTCTTTGTTTGAGACAGGTCTCATGTAGCCCAGGCTGCCCTTGAGCTCATTATGTAGCTGAGGATGACCGTGAACTTCTGATTCTTACTGTTTCCAGCTAGAATATAGACTGTGCCACCATGACAACGTGCTAGACTTCAGAAAAACAAAACAGCAACAACAAAAAAACTCAAACTCTAATAACTACAACTTGACAAATATTTGGAAATGTGTTTGTAAATCATTAGTTATAGTCCTTAAGTAATATTTAATGGTTCATATATCTCAAACTATACATATTGCTTATTTTTATTTTTGTTTTGAGACAGGGTCTTGCTATGTAGCCCAGGCTGACCTTGAAGTTACAACCCTCCTGTTTTAGTCTCCCAAGTGCTGGGACCACTTCACCCAACTGTGCACTATCCTTTAATTTTTTATTTGTATTTTTATTGTTCAAATGCGTGTGTGTGTGTGTGTGTGTGTGTGTGTGTGTGTGTGTTTGTGTACACTCACAAAGTCAGGTGAGTGCAGTTGCTGTGGGGGAACTGCCTGTTCCCCACTCAGGTCACCAGCCTGTCGACAGCATCTTTTCCCACTGAGCCACCTTGCCCACCCCATACTGTTCTTTTCACACAGCATCAACTTACCTTAATATTGAAACTTCTGTTTTTATTAGACTTTATTACACTAGCAGTAATGGGGGAATTGGCAGGGGCTGTAGTTCAGTGGTACAATGATTGCTTCTCATGCCCGAAGGCCTCAAGTTTGACTCCCCAGTTCCACAAACAGGATCCAACTGCACACAGTGTTTGGCTCAGTGGTGGGAAGCACGTTTAGCAACTCAGACCTATCTGTAGCTCCCATACCAGGGAACCGACTCCCTCACACAGACATACATGCAGGCAAAATAGCAATGCAAATAAAATAAAAATAAATAAATCACTAAGGAAAAAAATTCGATTGACACTAACTTACTTTGCTCTTTTTAAGGAGCGGCGAAAATTTGGTCCCTTGGGATGGAATATTCCCTATGAATTCAATTCTGCTGACTTCTCGGCCAGTGTTCAGTTCATTCAGAACCACCTCGATGAGTGTGATATTAAAAAGGTGAGTGGAATCGTTGGTCTTTTTGTCTGTTTATTTTCTAGGTTTTCATGACAGCCCATGACATGGGGTGAACTAGCTGAGGTCTCCCTGAGACCGTCTTTCAGAGGGACAGGTATTCTAATCGGCTGACCCACTCAACTCTCTCCTCCCCTAACCCACACACTCACATTTTGTTCCCCTCCCCTGAAGGCGCCTGCCGGTATAATGTGCTTCAAAAATGCAATCGTGTCCCTAATGCCACTCCTGGGCCCCAGAGGGCCCCACGCGAAGTGGGGTGATGTCAGTCGGGCCTGCCTTCTTTGACCTTCTTCCTGCTAGCCAATAAGGGAGTTCTTTTTGTCTCAAGTCCCCCTTCACCATTAAAAAAGATTTCTTTATGTATTTACTTATGTGTGTGTGTATTCAAGTGTGTATGTAGTGTGCCATGTGTGTGCAGTGTCCTTGGAAGCATGAAGAGGACATTGGGTCCCCTGGACCTGGAGTTAGAGATGGTTGGGCCACCATGCGGGTGCTGGGAATCAAATCTGCATTCTCTGCAAGAGCATCAAGTGCTTGTAACAGCAGAGCCATCTCTCCAGCCTCCCACCTCTTTCCGTATTTTCTGGTACTGGAGATTGAGTCCAGGGCATCATATACACTCAACAATGCTGCGTCATTGAACGGGGTTCCCAACCATGAAGTCTTTTCTTTTCTTAGTTTATTTGCTTATTTGTTGTTGTATTGTGTGTGTGTGTGTGTGTGTGTGTGTGTGTTATGTACATGCATGAGTTCAGGCATCCGTGCACCATGGCACACATATACAGACCAGAGGACAATTTCAGGAGCCGGTTCCCTCTTTTTAGCTTGTGAGTTCTGGGGTTGGAACTTGGGTCTTCAGACTGGGCCCCAAGTTCTGAGCTTCATGAACATACTGAGCTTCAAGAACCTAGCTCATTTCTTAATTTTCAAGTTCAAGTATATAAATAGCAACTAAAAAACTTTTTGGAAGTCTTGGGGATTGAACTTACAGCCTTGTACATGCCAGACAGTTTCTCTACCACTGAGCCATACATCATCTCCAGTAGTTACTTCTAGTAATGGTTACTAGTCATCAAAGTGTAGACTTCCCAGTCTCCATGGTGCTTCTGTAAGCATGTTTGCCTATATCATCATGATGCTGACAAAGAAGGTGCCACCATTATTCCCCTTTAACGGATGGGTGACTTCCTCGAGGTCACAGAGCTGGGAGTGCAAGCCTGGTTGCCTCTCTGCTCACAGGCTGCGAAGGGTTGGGAATCTTCTTTTTCAGGATCGTAGGTAAGTCGGTGAGACTTTCAGCCCGTTTCCTCCTCCATGAAGTCTTGGTCTCTGAGGAACAGAATTAGCATTTTTATGAAAACACAGTGCACAGTGCATAGCAGAGGTTCCATAGAGACCACTTTTGCTCTGTCCCCCTCTTCCTGCCCACAGTAGGACTGCCAGGTTACTATAGACACTGAGGTGACGTCAGGATTCCAGTGAGCCATGAGGAATGCTCACCTGGGGTGGACAGAGTTGGAACCAAACTGTCGTTTTCTCCTGAAGTGACAAAAGGACAGTAAATTAAGACTGTGGCAGCATGATGAAAAATGATATTGTATGGGTTCGTATTCTGCAGTTATTTATCATGTCAGCATGTACAAATCATAGCTGCCTTGAAATGGTTGCTTTGAAAGGCACCCAAGCTGAAAAATAGAGGTTTAACCAATAAGTAAATAAAAATAAGAATCCAAAATCCGTAAGCATCCACACTTTTCCTTTACTCTAATACATTGAGTTTTTTTTTAAAAAAAAACTATGAATAGCAGAATTATATTGCTAGTATAAGATTGCTAAGAAATTAATGACTACATCAATGCGGCTTTAGCTTATAGAACGAGACAGCACAGGATTGCATTGTGGAAAAGTCTCAGGAATAAATACTTTCCTGTTTGTTCTCTTACGGATTCTGGAAAAATCTATCGCTAGGCAAGAACATTAAAGCGCCCCTTCCTTGATCTTGTTTCTTTCCTCATTAGGCGTCTCTCCCCACCCCTCTGTAACAGCGTGGCATTTCCTGTAATGCGTGTTGCAGGTGATTACAATCACAGCGAGGCAAATACTGTCTTATTTTTCTATTTGATATAATCTGCAGTCACCTTCTCTTCCAGTGCTTAATACTGTAGATTTTTCTTTGGTGAACAAGTTGGAGTGGTTCCAGCCACATGGTAGTGAGTTATTCCTATGAGATAAAGAATAATTTCCAATGCAGCAATTTGAGCTTCATTCAGCTGCTGTGATAAAACGCTCTTCCTGGAAGCGACCTGGGGAGGCTTGCTTGGTTTATGCTTGCAGGTCACTGTTCATCATTGAGGGATGTCAGGGCAGGAACATGGAGGCTGGAACCATGGTGTAACATTGCTTGCTAGCTCACTCACTTGACTTATGTGTAGCTGGCTTCCTCACACAGCCTAGGGATACCTGTGTAGGGAATAGCACCACCCACAGTGGTCCATCTTAGAAATGCCCACAGATCATCTCCGTAAAGACAATTGAGACTTTTTCCCCATTAGTGCTTCTAGCCTGGGTCAAGTTGACAGAATGTTAACTAGGACAACAACCAAACTGACATTCCCTTTTCCAGAACTTTCCTATAGTGCTAGGCCCTGAGTGTTCTCACTACACTCAGGCTAGTGGATAATCCTCCCTTCTTCCTACCACAGGGGGTATCGTGGAGTACAGTCCGGTACATGATTGGAGAAGTACAGTATGGAGGCAGAGTGACGGACGACTTTGACAAACGACTACTTAACTGCTTTGCCAGAGTAAGTCAAATTTGGGAGGAAAACGTGTGGAGATAAAGTTCACGGTGTTTTCCTTTGAAAAGATGTGTTTCGGTTTTAATTATGTACATGTGCATGTGGCTGTGTGCGGCTATGTGCGTGTGAGCACGGGTACCTGTGAGGGCCAGAAGAGGGCATCAGATATCCCGGAGCTGGAGTTACAGTTTGTGTGTGTGTGTGTGTGTGTGTGTGTGTGTGTGTGTGTGTGTGTGCTGGAACCACACTCCAGTACCCTTTACCCCTGAGCCATCTCTCCATCTGAGGAACACCTTTTGTTTACAATAGGCATGATGAATCTTGGGGTGGAGTATAAAGAGGGGATGCTTGTGAATGGTATTAGCCAAGAACCCCTTCTTTCTACCATACTACCCTCATGTACAGCGTTAACTAACTACCAGTCATCCCACAGGGCTCCCCAGGAGTCTCATGCCCATCTTCCCACTGCCCTTGCTTCATGGTCTCAGTTCTCCAGAACCTTCCGAGAAAACTCTGGCCATCTCTCTGTGCCTCTTCCTCTTGAGTGCAAGACACAACTTGACTCCAAGGCTGACAATAAGAGCTTGAGGGAATGCGCTATAATTTCAGTGTTCTCTGCTAGAATAAAGTACTGAGAATGCAAGGAAGGGGCGCTGGGGTTCCTGTCTTTCCCCAGTAAACTCCACATAGATCCCAGGAGTAAGTATTTTCTAGAGGATATTATTCATATCCTCTATATGATATGAATATGATATATACAATAATGACTTTACCACAAAGGATAAATATCTTAAATCAACAACCACTGGACACAAACTCTTCTTAAATCTTTTTATGTATTAAAGAAACAATGTGTATTTGCCTATGGAAAAATCAGATATGTGAATATTTACAGTTATTAAAGTCTTTATATTAGGAACTCTGTTAGTAATTCTGCTTCAGCAAAATTTCTCCCTCTACTCTTCCCCTTCCTTCCCCTTCCTTTTCCTCCTCTTCCTGCTCTCCCTCCTCATCTTCCTCTGTTTCTTGTTGGCATAATATAATTAAAAATCACAACAAGTCTCTTAGAAGCCTGTTCTTTTCTAATGAGAGACAGAGAATGGGTCTGGAGGGTAGGGGAGGTGGGGAAGAACTAGGGGAAGTAGAGGAGGGGAAGCTATAATCAGGATATAATGTATGAGATCAGGATATAATGATGAATCTGTATTCAACAAAAGGAAAAAAGAAAAAGAAAAAAAGATAGAAAAAGTCACAACAAACTGCTGGGATAGTTTGGTGAACTGGAGGTAGACCAGATAGCCATTTTTTTGATTGTTTTGACACTTTAAGTTGCACATAGAAAATACCAAGTATTGACAAGGATGTATAAAGGTAGGAACACCAGTACTCACCAGTTAAATAGGAACAGACCTTCCAGAGTGCAGCCTGGTGACACTGGCTAAAAACAAGTACCCAAGAGAAATAGATGTCAGAACAGTTCAAGGAAAGGCCCACAGCACACACACAGATTTGGTGTAAGTACCAAAATGTTCATGGTGACATTGTGTGTGGGAGGTGAAGGCGATTACTATAGGCTGTTCTTTTCTGGAAGGAGACTGACATGGACCCTTCTGCTCAGGTTTCCCATTCCTTCCATGTTCTCCCATGTATGACCTGAGCTGAGACAGCACCCATCTGCCAGGGCAGTTCTGGGAATGGTCTGTACTGTACCACACAGTAGCCAGTGCTCCAGCGAGCTGGAGAAGTGCGTGCCTGGGTCCTGATGGAGGATGAGATGGTGCCTCACAGCATCCTAAGGCAGTGAGATGTAATGACTCGGCACAGTGGCTTCCGTGGCTCAGCCTCTTGAGGCACAAGCCAGCAGCTCTTATCTTTTCTCAGCTCCATGATGTGACCGCTGTCCAGACTGGAATTCTGCTGCTGAGTACAGGTTCCAGATATGTTCTCAGAACAGATACTACCCATAGCATAGCTGGAGGTGTCAGGAGGCAGCTTCTGCATCCACAGGGGTGGTGGGGAGGAGATAAGCTACTGATGGTGGTGTAAAACCCAGAAGAAATGGTCTATGTGACAGCCTGCAGAGATGGTAAAACATTTGTTCAGTGAAGCTGGAAGAAATAGAAAATGGGATCTATAAAGTAAGCTATGTATATTTCACAGGGAGGAATACATATCAGGACATACATTAAATACATTTAAATATAGAAGGAGACCGTAGGTGTTTATCAGAGTTGAATGGAGAAATACCTAACTAAAAAGGGTACTAATGTGTAAAAATAATAAATATGGTATATGAAGAACTTAACTCTGTGATTGAAATTCAAAGGAAAATATGTCTTAGTCAATTAACTGTTTTTGAATAATTGTAAAAGTATCTAAAGTTGGAAGGATTTGCTATTTACTGTTTTATTTTTTAAATTATGTATATATTAAGGGATGGAGAGACGGCTCAGTGGTCACGAGCATGTGTTGCTTTTGCAGAAGCCCCAGGTTCATTTTCCAGTACCCACATGGTGGCTCACAACTGTCCCTAACTCCAGTTCCAAGGGCCATGGTGCCCTCTTCTCACCTCTATGGCACACATGTGGTGCAGGAGTCCTTGGAGGTGAGAAAAGAGAGCTGGGGAGTTGGATCCCCAGGAACTGGCATTAAAGGCAGTTATGAGCCATGCTGTGGGTACTGGCAGCAAAATCACGGTACTCTGCAGGAGCATCAAGTGCTTTACCACTGACCCATCTCTCCAGCTCCTTGTTTTTTCCTTTTAACTATGTGGTGTGTGTGTTTTGAGTTTGTGCATGTGAATCCAGTGACCAAGGAGGCTGGAAGAGGGCATGAGATCTCCTGGAACTGGGGTTAGGGACATTTGTACACTAGATCCCTTGGAGCTAGAGTTACAAGCAGTTGTGAGCCTCGTAAAATAGGTGTTGGTAAGTGATTTGGGGTCCTCTGGAAGAGTAGCAAGTGCTCCTAACCACCAACCACCAAGCCACATCTCCAGTTCCTCTATACAATATTTTTAAGTGTATAAAACATGAATGTATCACATGATATATTCTCATGGGTTCCCTACTCCATGCTGAGAATTGAACCCTGGGCTATGTTCCCAGCCCCTCCTTATAGGAATTCACTCTAGGCCTTCTGACATAAATTGTCCATATTTGTGTGAGGTATTTGGGCTCCCTGTGTTTATCCCACACCTGTATTGTTCGCTTTAATGGATTTTGCAAACAATCCCTGTATTGATCCATGCATACATGTGCCTGTCGGTTTGCTTGCTGTCCTCACGTCCCCCCACCCCCCACCTGGTAGAAGGAAGGCTTTCCTTGGGGCAGCTGTGAGTGCAGATGTAAGGGACGGCTAGGTATAATGGGGGAGGATGAGAATATTTTCCTCTGACTTTGTCTTCATTCAGAGTGAGTAAGAAGTGAGGGTCTCAGCTATAGGGTGACAGCAAGAAATTTTAAGATGCTTAGAGAGGGACGATAAGTTGTTTGTAGCTGTCTAGGAGAGCGAGGGAAGAGAAATGAGACCCTAAAAGATATCCTCCACCATCCACTCTGGATCGCGAGCCCCTTGGAAAGAGTCACATGTTTCTGCTCTCCAACTGTCCTCTGCAGCCCTCTGAATATGCTCACATGCGTGGTTGACGGTGAGTGACGTGCAGTCTCGGGACAGAGGGGTCTAACATCTAAGATGGAATCCAGTGGATTGAGTGCTTATTGACGTCAGAACACACCCTGAAAATTAGGCCTATTAAAAAAATGTCAGCACATAAGAGCTTTTATAAAAAGCCTGCACTATCTTAAACTTCAAGATCAAGAAAAGTCCCTTTGTAGCCACCTCCCTTCCTTATTTTGTCTTTGCATTGTGGGACCTGCCTTACCTACAGATGACTGGGGCATTTGGTTGGTGGCAAGAGAGTGTTGTGGCGCCCTCTCTGCTCTTTGCAGAGCTCAGCTCCAGGCGTAGCTGAGAGCCACCATGACACCTGAGCAGGTAGATGACCGATCCAGGAGCTCAAGTAGGGGACAGTTTCTGCTAACCCAGCCCACTTTTCCTCCAGCCACTTGTCCACACCCTGACGGAGGACACCCAGGGCCATAGAGGACTAAGTTAGACCCCAGCCCTCTCCCCTCCCAAGATTCTGCCTCCCCAAGTGTGGGCTGACCTGCGAAACACATTGGAGCTGTGTCTCAGCCATGTAAGACTTGGTGATCTGCACACAAAGTTCCCTTTCCTGCCCCCAATGCAGTGGTTACTCCCCAGTGATCACGGCTTCTGCTCCACCTATTCCTAGCTCCTCTGAGCTCTCTCCTCAGGGTATTATTCGGCTGTCCCACACTTGGATCCCTGATTGACAGCCCTCTGCATTTGAGGCCTCCGAATCTGCAGTTCTCTGACCTCTGCCCTCTGTGCCAGCCTCCCTCCTTAGTCTCTCAAGACTGCTCTCTGCCTTCCCCATTCTGGTTTCCACCCTCCTTCTGTCTCTTACTGTCTCTTGTTCTTCCCTTCCATCTTTTTCTAATTCCTTTCTCTTCTTCCTCTGTTAGGCTCAAACTTGTCCCGGATGCCCCTCAGTAGCACAGGTCACATAGCTCTCCTAGGAAGCCACATCTCACCCCCCCCCCACCCCAGGCAGGGTTTCTCTGTAGCTTTGGAGCCTGTCCTGGAACTAGCTCTTGTAGACCATATCTTTTAAAGGCCCCGCCACTTCCCAGTGGTTTCATGGACTGTGGTCAGTCTAGACCCCGATTATAGCAGCCGTTTTCCTTTGTACCTGCCCAAATGATAGTTTGCATGAGAAATGTCCCATGTCCCCAGGAAATGATGCTACTTGGTTTTGAGACCTTTAGAAGACACAACTTTGCTAGCAGAAGTTCATCACTGGGGTGGGCTTGGAGGGTTTATTACCTGACCACACTTCTTGCTCTCTGCCTCCACACCCCTCTCTTCCTGCTTCCTGTGTATGGATGAAGTGTGATCTCTCTGTTTCCTGACGACCATCCCAGCCTCATGCCCTTCTACCATGCCTTCTCCACCACCGTCATGGACTCTGTCCCTCTTTGGAACCGTAAGCCAAAACAAACCCTTTCTTCCATAAGTTACTTTTGGTCAGGGTATTTCATTATGACAGCAACAACAAGAGAGAGACTACAGCAGAATAATTCCATGTAGATCTCATATTTTGTATAACATGTATTAGTAACCTCTGCATAGTCTCTGTACCTGGTGAACCTCGGCGATATGGGTGTTTCAAATCCGATATGGGTGTGTCAAATCCGCATACTTGAGTGTACATAAAGAAAGCAATGGGAAAGCACAGGGCTAAGATTCACTTTGCCTCTGTGGCTGCATGTCGTCTGGCCCCTCGGTGCAGTCCTTTGTTTGATAACAAATGTACCATGGACCCACAGCCTTCATCCCGGGATATGTTCCTGCGACTTAAGTCACCCACGTCACTGAAGAGCTCATTTGTCTTCGTGATGACCGTACCTACAGTGCTACCTTCTTTAATAACTTGAAATCGCTCCCCAACTCTTGGATTAAACTCTGCTCGCTGCCCCACGTCCAGTCATCCATCAGAGAACTCTCCTCTCTTTCCCTCTCTTCTCCCTCCCCTCAGTATTTTCTCTACTCTAGCCTTCATGGCTTCTGCCAATGCATCTCACACTTTGGCACCTGGTAATCACTGGTGTGCCCCCAGCCACTCACCCAAGTCCTAAGTGCTCTAGACAAACAAACAAATAAAAACAGTAACAATAACAACAACAACAACAGTCCTCTCCTTGGAGACTTGTCTTCAAAACTCGTCCCTGCTAAACCCTTGCCCGCATCCACCTGGCCATCCTCCCTCCTGCCTTAAGCCCTCTGTGCCCTTTGCTTGTTTTTGTGCCCTTCTGGCTCTTGCCTCAGCGCACCTCGTATTAGGAAGGTTGTTGTTTCATAACTGGCTTGTCCCTCCACCAGGTCACAAGATCCTTGAGTGAAAGGACTGTGTGTCTCTCTCCTTTGCGTTCTGTTCTGGTTCCGAGCTCTGTACCACGCAGGCAGGGGTTGAATAGAGTGGAGCTGAAGCAAATAGAGCCATAGAGAAAACCGGGACACAGTATTTCAGAATAATCACCGGATCTAAAAAAGAGCCGCAAAGAGCGATGGAGGGACACTGCCAGAAACAGTGGGCTTGAATGGGCAAGGCACAGCCCGGTCTCCTCCACCCTCACCTTGCTTCCGTTCTTGTCCTGCCACTTCCCTCCCTACTAGGAAAATCACCCTCTTAGGTACCAAAGTTGTCACCTCAAACCAGCTCAGGCATTCAACATCTCTTTTTCCCACCTTCTCAAAAGAAGTCTGTTCACACCAAGTGTATATTTGTTCTCTCACCGTTTTGTTGCAGATAATCAATCAATTCATATGGGACGAGAAAAGGGTGCCTTCAGGCTAGCAACAATGGAGGCTGGGCAGCGGCTGCATTTGCTTCTGGTGCCCAGGGACAGAACTTAATTAACAAAGGAAGCTCTGGGTGGGAGGGCAGGTGCTGGGAAGTTTTTGTGGCTGCATGGTTGGTGCTTAGCATCTGTGAGTGAAACCGTGTAGACATAGCCCCAAAGAAGAGTCTTGCCTAGGGAGATACTCAGGGGCCCTCATGGCTGCAGGTGGACCAGAGGTAACCAAAATACTCCTGTTTACTACGATGTGAACTTAGCACATAGTTCAGCATGGCCTTGAACTTCCGACCCTCCTGACTCTACCTCCCAAGTACTGGGATTACAGAAGTACACTGCCATGCCGGGTGTAAACCGTGCTGGAGATGGAACCCAGGGCTGTGTGCATGCTAATCGAGGACTCAGCCAACTGAGTCACATCCCATTTCACTCCCTCCACTGTTTTTGTTTTTGTTTTTTTCAGTACTGAGTAGCGAACTCAGGGCTTCCTTCAAGCTAAGCAAGTGCCAGGCCACTGAGCCCAGTTCCGGCCATGCCTCACCCTCAGTGCTCTGCTTGGATCTCCTCTTGGGTGCCAGCCAGAGTCTTGCCTAATTGTTTCTGTGCAATGGGAAAGCACAGGGCTAAGGTTCACTTGGCTTCTGTGGCTGCATGTCATCTGGCCCCTTGGTGCGGCCCTTTGTTCGATATCAAATGTGCGGTGGACCCAAGCCTTCATCCTGGGATCTGTTCCTCTGACTAACTTAAGGCCTCTCTTTTGTAGATTATCTCTTTCCTTCCTATATGTGATTATTATTCCACTGATAGTTTTGTTAAGATGCTTTCAAAACCAATAGTAAAGACACACACACACACACACACACACACACACACACAGAGAGAGAGAGAGAGAGAGAGAGAGAGAGAGAGAGAGCCTATTAAAATGGAAATAAGCCTCTTCTTCTAATCTTCATCAATTTTCTTTTATTTTTCTCTCTCCCATATAGGTCTGGTTCAGTGAGAAGATGTTTGAGCCCTCATTCTGTTTTTACACCGGATATAAAATCCCCGTGTGCAAAACCTTGGACCAATATTTTGAGTACATTCAGTCTCTGCCATCTCTAGATAACCCAGAAGTCTTTGGGCTCCACCCTAATGCTGACATCACGTGAGTTCTGGGCACTTTTTTTTCTTTTTTTTTTTTTTTTAAATTTGAAGGTGTCATTTGTAACTCAGCCCGGCAAAGACTATGCATTTCATTTTCTCTGTTAATCTCTCTCCTTTCCTTTCTTTTTATTTTCCTGTGAAAAATAGTGTTGTTGCCTGTCTTCCAATTACAACCCTGTCACAACTCAGCCTGCCCTCCCTCACTAAATCCCGATGGCCTGGTGTTTATGGCAACTCGAAAGCTGTAATTTATGCGTTGATTACTTCTCTGTCCTGTCATGAAACCAGTTACAGTTTTATTTAAATCGATGCTCTCCATTGATAGTCGTCTCCCTGCTCCTTATCTATTTCTCCAAATATCCATTCAAACATACCACTTGGGACTAGAGAGATGACTCAGTGGTTAAAAGCACTTGCCTGTCTTATAGAGGACTCAAGTTCGGTTCCCAGCCCCTATGTCCAGTGGCTCACAACCCTCTGTAACTCCAGGGTGTCTGACTCCCCCTTCCGGCCTTCTCGGGCAGCTGCACTCATATGCACATACCCACAAACAAACACATATGGAAGGGCAAATGCAGTTAGAGTCCTGTCTGACCCTCTCTATGATGAACCATCTCGTCTCATGCATGCTCACCTGCAACCTTCTGGTCCTGAGCTTCTCATGGGCGCATACCCCAGAGCCCAGTGTGATGTCCCTGATCCCACAAAGCCGTAGCAATGCCTGCCAATCCCAAGCACCTTCTTTGACTCACCCTCCAGATGAAGTTTCTCTTTGGAGAGCCCTCTATCAAAAAGGATCACCCCGCCCCACCTGCTGACTCAGCTCCAGCTGAGTCATTCCTTTGTAAGGTGTGGCCTCTGTGGCCCACCTGAAGAAGATTCCTTGCTAGAGAGAGGGGCCTGCTTGCCCTTCTCCCTGTCCCTGAGCCATGGCTGTAATTTTAATAACTCCTTCATCACACACGGGCACTTCCCACTTCCAGTACCCTTACATCAAGTGCATTCTCCCCCCACCCAGACACGGCCCATGCCCCACACTGGGCTCCCCTCCTCTGTACCCTCTAATCTGGCTCTTGCCCCTCCAGAGACGCTGTTACCACCCATGAATAATGGTAAATCTCAGTCTCCGTGACAGAGCAAGATACCTCTGCAGCGCTGCCTCTGAACTGCTGCCCTGAGAAGCTCTGTTCAGTGAGCTGAAATGCAAGCCTAGTGAAGCAATCAAAAGGGCTTCTGTGGGGATCAGTGTGAGTGTGAACAGTGAGGGAGGGAGGCCCAAGGAGGTGGTTTCCCTTGAGCCGAGGCTTTGAAATGGGAGGTAGATGACCTAGCTCCTCTGCTCTGTTCTGTAGTCCTGCCTCATCTTGGGTCAAGGTCAAAGGTGCCCGGATACACACAACCCAGACCTCTGTTCCCTCCCTCCGCATATCCCTCTTTCCAGCTCAGCTCTAACTCTCCATCACTTCCTGTTACTTAGACCATAAGCCTCACTTGTACTTCCTGGAACATACCCTGTCACACACACGCCCAGAAATACCACTGTGACTCACCCTTTACCTCTTCCGGCCCTTGCTTGAGTGTCACGCTTTCAATGATGCCTCCCGGTAGTCACCCTAAGTACAAATGGTGACCTGTTTTCAACGACCCCCCCCCCCCCAAGACCCTACGCCCATGGCCAACTTTTTCTTGTATCAGCCACAGACATACTCTTTTTTTCACTATTTATTTGCTTTTATTTATCGGCCACCAGTTAAAGCATAAATTGGATGCAATTCCATCGCATCCCAAACCTGCGTCCATTTTCACTGGTGTATTTTTCTGGCTGCCATTGTGCCTGGTGCTCAGGAAACCCTGCTGGGTTGAATCAGTAATGCTAAGCCCTTTCAGACTCTAAGAAGTCTGATCAGTGAGGCTAATCCATAGGATGTGGTCTTTTCCATGGGTGGGAAGAAAAGTAGTGGACAAAACTCCGTGCGATTGTCATTACGTCAGAAAAGACACTGCTGTGTGGGACGGAGATGTGGTTCCAATAAATACCTTCCTAGCATGCACCAAGTTCTGGGTTCAATCCCCAGTGTTGGAGAAAAACATATTGTTAGGCAGGCTCTCCTGCAGCTCAGGCTGACCTTGAACTTACTCTGTTGCTTAGGACTTGGGTATCTGGCCCTTCTACTCCATCTTCCGTGCATTGGGATTGCAGCCAGGTACCCCCATGTACCAGCCAATGAAGGACTGCGCTCTGGACTTGCGAGCCCTTCCTTCCCCTAAGTGGCTTTGGGTCAGAGTGTTTGTCATAGCAACAGAAATGAAACGAGAACAGATGCTCTTTCTTATTTCTAGGGAACGTTTCTGTTCCTAAGCATTTTTGGTGTAAAACTTGTCCACTTTTTCCCAGGAGTAATTTTAGTCCTTTTTTTTTGTTTTGTTTTTAAGACTTAACAATATATATAAATCGTACCTGCATATATGTACACACCCGTACACACAATTCCTGCCTTTTATTTGTGATATATGTTGGGAATACTATTTCCTGTCTTCTCGCTTGGTTTTGCCTCTGCTTTTGAAAGTACCAGTGTTGCTTGTCATTTGGTTCCACTGCTGTTTGATGCGATCAAATGATGGATGGTGCTGGTGTCCCACCTGGATCTGTAGTGATTGCAACAAGGCCCGTTCTCGTATGAGGTTATACGCGAGCATCCCCTCTCTCGGTGTTTATATGGTTCTAGAGTTCACGCTTAACTCTTTTGGCCATCTAGAATTTTTGTGGCATCCAAGCATGGGGGAAGCCTCATCTTCTTCCAGTTGGCAATCCAGTCCTCCATTATCCGTGACAGGAAATGCTTCCCTACATGTGGGCAAAACTCGGATGGGTGCGTGGGCCCATGTCTGGGCTTCCTTTGCTGTAACGGTCTGTTTAAATACGCTCATGTTTTATTATCCAGCCAGGTCTCATTGCAGTCCCCCTCCCAGGTATTTTTCCCAGATGTCTTTGCATATATATATTTTTTTATCATTGGAAACAAATATCAGATCCTGAATTTTATTCAGTACCTTTCAGTATCTGTGGAACATATCATATGGCTGTCCTCCAAATTGCTAAATAATTTATAATGGATCTTCTGATCCAAATTATCCATTTAGTCTTGAAATTGACTGCCACTCTTTCCTGGTCTTTTCCTGTTAGTGTGTGTAGATGGTCAACAGTTCACTGGGAGGATATTGCACTGAGTCTCGTAAATAATGTTGCTCCTGAGCTTTGTGTGTGTGTGTCTGTGTGCGTGCACATGCGCATGTGTGTGTGCGTGTGTGTGTTTGCATGTATGTGTGTGTGTGATATCTTTACCCAGTTTTATTGTTAACCAATGGTTATGTTTGTTTTATAAACTATTGGGTATTCCCTAATCCCTCAAACAAATTCTGTGCTTCCAGATTGAGTTGAGCTTTCCTGTGAAGCCATCAGCGCCCAGTGCCTTTCAGCGTTGCTCCTTCTTTGGCAGGTTTAGTTCCTGCTATTTCCATTTGCAGTTGAGTCTTGTAAATTGTATTCTCAAAGAAAGCCGTCTGTTGAATCTGTGTCTTCATGTTTGCTTACCTGGAGTTTTGCAAGGCAGACTTTGTTTGAACGTGTGCATACAGGGTCAAGTATATACAGCTCATCTATTATGGAAGTGTGTGCATCCCGCTAGCTCTGTAGGCCTTTGGTCCGACATTCAATAGCTTGGAGCCACTCCAGTCTTTCTCCGAAAGGATTGTTCTAGCTCCCTTAAAATACTTGTTCAGGCAGCTCTGGCCAGCCACTTTACTGCAGTCAGTCAGTGTATCCCCAGAGAAACAATGGGGTCCAACTTGGCATAACACAGGAGTACACCACACCACAAACCAGGGGTTCTCCTTCCCAGGGCCCAGCTCCGCGGGTCCTCAGTCACTGATGGGAAAAGCGCACTGTGGCAAAGAACCAGACTCACTTGTGGAATGCACGAATGTTGTGGTCATTCTTTACCTGAGTGGTCTGGTGACAGGGTGACCTCAGGTGGCCTAGGTATTTATCCTTTCAGAATTTCATTCATGCACACAGTGGATTTTGGTTCTACCAACCATCTGTTCTGTCCAGTTCCTCCCACGCCCTCCTACCCTGTCCCCCTCCCAAGTCCCCCTTCCATGTCCCTTCTTTAATATAACCCACTAAGTCTAGACAGAGCTTCAGTATGTGCATGATTGTGGAGCCACCCGCTGGAGTAGGGACCGCTTACCACACCCCAGAAAAAAGCCACCCCCCCCAGCAGCCATCAGCTGTGTGTTATCTCTTTGGCTGTGGACAGGGAGGGCCTCATGATCTCCGCCCATGCTTCAGTGCTGGCTGGCTTGATCTCGGGCAGATCTGGTGCAGGGATCCACAGCTGCCAAGAGTTTTTGCTGCAGTCAGTGTCCCCGTAGTGTCCAGAAGACACTGTGTTTACAGCAGTCACCCCTGGCTGCTGGCTTTTTCAGCCTGTCTGCCCCTCTTCCTGGGTGTTTCCTGGGTCTTAGGGAGATGGTGTGATTAGATGTGTCTTTTAGGGCTAGTTCGCTGTTTCCACCATCTCTGCATTTTGGCCAGCCATTGAGTGTCTGGGTTAACCGCCACCCACTGTGCAAAGGCTTCCCTGGTGAGGACTGAAAGCTTCACTAACTGTCTGAGATGGGAGTTGGAGTGGGGACGGAAGAGCTTCAAAAGTGTTAACCGGGGACCCTACCTGTCTGCACCGGGAGCAGAAAAGGGGTAACAAAGCCTCACCATAGTCTTTTGTATGACTTCTTTCAGGTAACTCAAGCCCCAAACTAAACCAATGACCCCCTACATACACCACTACCCCACCTCCAGCTCTTCTCTTTCTCAGTAGTATCCAAGGCACATAGAACACAATGCATCTCTCTGCCACCTTCCCAACCTTATCTAGAGCCCCCTTGAAGCCTCATACAACATCCTAGAGACCCAGAGCTGGTGGGGACATCCGGGGTTGT